CTTTTTTTCTCATATTCCACGTATGAGCAATATCATATGGTATTTTTCTTTATCTGTCTGACTTACTTAACTTAAAATGATGATCTCTAGGTCCATCCATGTTGCTACAAATGGAATCATTTTATTCTTTTTTGTTGCTGAGTAGTATTCCATTGTATAAATATACCACCTCTTCTTTATCCAGTCCTCTGTTGATGGACATTTTGGTTGTTTCCATGTCTTGGCTATTGTTTATAGTGCTTCTTTGAACATTAGGGTGCATGTATCTTTTCGAATTAGCATTCCCTCTGGATAAGTGCCCAGAAGTGGGATTGCTGGATCATATGGTAAGTCTGTTTTTAATTTTTGAAGCATCTCCATACTGTTTTCCGTAGTGGCTGCACCAAACTACATTCCCACCAACAGTATAGGAGGGTTCCCTTTTCTTCACAAGATCTCCAGCATTTATCATTTATGACTTTTGAATGATGGCCATTCTGACTGGTGTGAGGTGATACTTCATTGTAGTTTTGATTTGCATTTCTCTAGTAATTAGCGATACTGAGCATTTTTCATGTGCCTATTGTCCATTTGTATGTCTTCATTGGAGAATTGCTTGTTTAGGTCTTCTGCCCAATTTTGGATTGGGTTGTTTGTTTTTTTTTCTTATTAAGTCGTATGAGCTCCTTACATATTCTGGAGAAGAGGGGTGCAGTACCAGATGAGCAGTCACTTAGACAAGGAGCATCAAGAAGGATGCTAGATTGGAAAGGTGAATCTAAAAGTTATTTTTAAAGGAGAAACTATAAGCTTTGAAAACATTGAATTTGAGGACTCTGAGAGGGAGGGAGCAGAAGCTTCTTTCAAAACTATCAGCATTCTGGAGATGAAGTAGTTATCTTTTCAAAGGAGACTGTAGGTGTAGGGAAGAGCCCCCAAATTGGTATTAGGCTTGTATTTGATTACAAGAGACAGAAACCAAACCCCAAACTATTAATGACTTAATAAGATGGAAGTTTATATTTCTGTCACTAAAACAAGCAGAACAAGCAGATCAGGATTCGGATAACTGACCAGGGTTTCCATGGTCACATCAACTTCCATGTTGCCAAAACCAGACTTGTATTCCTGTCTACCTTTGCTCTTTCTCCTCCTTTTACTTTCACGGACTGTTAAAATCCAGGATTTATCTCATTTGATTGCCCACAGTTGGCCAGGAGTACATGACATTGTACATCTGCAATGTGTTTTGATCTGCCCTCTCACTTGGCCCCTCCAGGCCCAGGTCAGGCCTCAGCTCTCTCCTTTGGGCCTTTACCACAACCTCCTCATGTGGTCTTCTAGTCTCTTCTCCAGTCCATCCTGTCATGGCTGCCAAGTATGCCTTTCCAGAGAACACACCATTCCTGACTCAGAGCTCTTTGATGCTCTCTCCTGTAGCTTCTAAAGTAGTTCGAACTCTTTAGCTTGACACTCAAGGCTCTAGGTCAATTAACTAAAATCTTGCCCTCTAAAACAATTACTTAATTTCATTTTAACATCGTCATTTTAATCTCATCTAATTTTCAAAGCACTTTAAGGGTGATGACTTTTAAGTAAATTTCTCTTTAGGAGAATTAATGACAAGAAGAAACCACTTTAGTTGAAGTGTTTTCACATTTAAGGCCAAATAAGAAGCTGTCAGCACTCTGCTTTTTCAAATGTAGTCCAATTTTGTCTTATTAGATCAGGACTATGTTCCTACTTTACCAAAGATCCATGAGTTTTTTGGGTTCCCTTTTGGTCCCCACAAGTCATAGTTAGGAAGTTAAATCTGAGAACCATTGACCTGACACCCAGAAAGAGGCCTGGCTGAGTGGCTGGAAGAGCCTGAGAGCTCCTGCCTTTGTGAAGTCTGCCCTGCCCTGGATGATGCTGGGAAAGAGATATGATCTTTCCCCTCTGTCCAGAGGAGGAGCAGAGATGGGCCAAGGAAGGGTATTTGTGTTTTTTAAGAGCATCTTTCTAGGCCTGACTTGAGATGGATGACTCACCTCTTGTGTGACCTTGTGTCACTCTTGTGTGGCCTTGACATTTTGCCATTTATACGTTGCCTAACCCATAAAATGGAGACCAATCACAGGCATCCCCCACCTTGCTTCTGTTGTTGTTATCCAGTTCAGAGATGCTGAATTTGAAACCCTTTCTCACTTCATCTAGCTTGTGGGAGTTTTATTACCTCCTCTATTCGTTTCTATGGCTTCCATAACAAACTACCACAAACTAGATGGCTTAAAACAACAGCAACTTCTTCTCTCACAGTTCTGGAGGCTAGAAATACAGAATCAAGGTGTCAGCAGACCCTTACTCTCTCCAAAGGCTCTAGGGAAGAATTTTTCCTTGCCTCTTCCTAGCTTCTGGTAGTTGCCAGAAATCCTTGGCACTCCTTGGCTTGTAGATGCATCCCTCCAGTCTCTACCTCTGTAGTCATATGCTATTCTTCCTGTGTGTCTGTGTTTCTGTTTTCTCTTCTTATACAGTATGACCTCATCTTAACTAATTACATCTATAAGGTTCCATGTGGACATGAATTTTGACGGCCATTATTAAACACAGTATACTCCCTTGTTTTCTCTTGTAAGAAGTAAATAAGATAACACAGGCTAAGGGCTTAGCACCATGGAAGGTGTAGTGAGTGGGTACTCTTACTACTGTTGCTGTTGCCGTTGCACTATTTGCTCTTCCTCCTGTTGCCATTGCATTGTTTGCTCTTCCTCCTTCATGATCCCCCTCTCTCTGCTCCTACCTCAGCTACACAGACTTGGGCTTTGATCTGCTGAAATGAATCAAATAACAATGAATCTAAAATTCTCTTCCATAAGGGAAAAATGGGTTTATTTTTGCAAAGAGAGAGAATAAGAGGGGATGCTGATTAGGTGCCTCATTAAAATAATCAATGAATGGAAAATGAAGGATTAATAGGGTCAAGTTGGCCTAGGCAAAAATATTTTGGGGGCCTCTAACAACTATACATCCAACTAAATTCATATTTAACAAACAACTGATAGACTTTGTGTGTCTGTAGTCTGTGCTGTGAGGATTGGAATGGTGTCAAGAGGGGCAGAAGGAGCCTTTGAGGGTTATGGAAATTGACCCAAGGAGACATGGGAAAGAGGCAGCACAAGGTAGATGGGTGGGAAGGACACCAGATACCCAGATTCTAGTCCTGTCTCTGCCTTTGACGCCACGTGTTGTTTTGAGCAGATCTCTTCCCCTCTCTATGTTGCAGTTTCCCTGTCTCTGAAATAAGGGGTTAGGCCATGAGAGCTCTGGGACCACATGCTTGTAAGGGGCTTGGAGAGGAGGAAGTGATAAAGAGAGGCACACAAGAGCTCTGCTCCAGGGCTTAAGAAAAGTCACCCACCTCTTATACCACTTATAAAAATTGGACAGTTCATGGTAAGATGCTGCATAATATATAAACTTCTCTGATCTATTTTTCACATATGATCTTCAGAACAACTCTGAGAGGTAGATGAATTTAGGTGTTTGTATTCCTGTTTTGCAGTTGGGAAACTGAAGCTTGAAGCAGGTTGTCCTGACTACAAACACAGTGTGTTTCCAAGATGCCACAATGATGGTTGCCTCTTGGCTCAGCACCAGCTCCCTCCAGGAGTGGAGATGAGTTCCTGGGCACCACGTCACCCAACACAATGCCACACGCTGTGCATGCTCTACGAATAGCTCTTGGTGGTGAGTGATTCAGACCTTGGGGAGGAAGGAGAAACTAATGAACATGGTATGGTTCCGCTAACACGTATTTATCCAGCATCTACTGCCATGTGTCAGGCACTGCCCTTGGCTCTGTGGACTCAGGAGTGAACAAAACAGACACAGTCACTGTCCTCATGAAGCTCAGAGTCTCTCAGGAAGACAAGCACTTAACCAATAATTACCAAAGTTTAATGAAACAAATATAAGCATGTGATATACTGGAGAGGACAGGTTCCTAGTGCTTTGAGTGAGAAGGCTGAAGAGGTTCTGGGAGGAGCCAGGGAAGGCTTCTCTGAGGAGGTGAGGCTGCAGCTGAAACCTGTCAGAGTAAAGGAGGTGGGGCTGGCGCTGGCACTTAGGGTGGACCCGAGGCTTACGGGAAAGCTAGAAAGGAGACCAAAACAAAGGTTCTGTTTTACTTCCTTTGTTGTAACTCTAACTTCCCCAAAGGACACCTTGAAAAATAGAGAAAATGGTTTCAGGAGCTGTTATTTTTTTTGCCTCCCCATACTTGAAACTGGGCGCAATAGAGGAAGTTTAACATGAAACCTCTAATGCGCTATTAATTAATTAATTAATTAACCCACAGTGCATTAAATGTATAATGTATTTAATGTAAAAACGAAAGCTCCAGAATCATCCAGTGCCTTGAGTGGACTCCAGGCCTTTGTTTCCACTTGTGAGGCAACTCCACTTGCATTGGTCCTCAGAGGTTTCGAAACTGACCTTTTCTTCACCTTAGAAGCTGGGAGGGTGTATCCAAGGGATGAGAGCATGGATGGGTTTGAGTGTTGAGTTGATAAACAGTAGCTCCACTACCATTCTTTCCCCTCTCCACTCATACCCCTTCCTGGGCTTCCCACACTGTGAAGTCTACTCCTGATCACTCCTTTCCTTTCTTGGTAAAGGCCAGCTCAGGAAATCATGATATAGACACACAGTAGAAAAGTAATCCAAAAAATCTTATGATGTCTCAGTTCTTTTCCTTATTAACTCTGTGGCTACAGTTTCCTCGTCTGTAACATGGGGATGATAATGCCTACTTCATAAGATTAGTCCTTTGAAATTTTTCAGACTTTGCATTTTATAGATGTAGCAACTCAGAAAATTAGGTGATTTGTGCTGAGTTATGCAGCTAGTAGAAACAATCAGGAATGTAGGTCCTCTGTCTCTAAATCCAGTCTCTTTCAACTAGCAAAGCTTCAACCTGTGTACCATGGCTCATCCATGTGTCATGAATAGGTGGTCTTCACTGTGCTAAAATGTCAGTCCTCAGGGGTGACCAAGTAAGGCTGAGACTGCAAGAAAAAAGAGCTCAGAAGTCCTACATATATGGCACTAGAGTAAAACAAACAAAACAAAACTTGTTTTGCTGTTATGTGACATCATTGATCATAGCTTTAATTTTTTTATTGTGTTTATGCCAATTCATTGGTTGGAAGCAGAACTCTCTATCAGAATATTGCCCTAGGAATGTCGCATGCTTTACATATTAAATGACACAGACTAGGTCTGTGGTATGTTCAGATCTCCACTTCCCTTTGTGCTGGGCAGCTGAAGGTTACGTCTTCCTGATTTTGACCGTTGACTCCTGAAGCTGCTGTGCAGTCATGCTGGCCATCCTAGTGTCAGGTTCAGATTATGACATGGTCTCAAAGAGTCACTGCCATCTCTCTTATTTCCATGACCCCAATTCCAAATTTATCAGGAATAGCTGCTTGGCTTCCATTGTCCTTGCATGGACTCTATTACATTTCATGGGATTTTTAAGCCACACTCCTTTCAGTCAGAAAACATGGGTGAGTAAGTTGGTATATTTTTATTTTTTTCTCTTCACTGTTAATTCCCTTTTAAAAAAATGAAAGGATAGGAGAACTTTAAGCATTTTGAAAGAGACAGCTAATCAATACACATTATTCTCCGAACATTCTAGGAAATTCAAGGAAATTATAAAGTACCTCCTAAAGGCTCTTCAGTTATCTGTATGCCTGCCCTTCAGATAGAAAGTTTCCTCTTGGCACATAAAGAAGTCAAATTAGACCCAGAAGAGACTATCCTTGTTGGAGCGTGAATGTCAAAGAAACAATCTTCAGTAAAATAGCTTTCTCTCTCAGCATGCTCTGGAGAGAAGAATAACTTTGGTTATTGGTAATGCACAAAGCACAGTGAGAGAGTCTGGGGGATCATGGGAACTGATTTTTATATGAGATCTGAATGTCTTGCTGAGGATTTTCACATATTCTGTCGTTGGTGAAAACAGTTCACTTCAGAGTGCACTAGGATTTAGGAGCTACAGAAGGGACAGGATCCATCCTCTCCCAGGACAGGGGAGAAGTGCCTTTATCAAGGCTTAGTGATGCCTGTTTGAAAACGTCTCCTTCCTTAGTTATGTGGACAGACATTGATCCATCTCCTCTGCTAACTTCAGAGGACCTGGTAAGCCTTTGGAGTCAAGACCCCTTGAAGGATATTTACAAACACTCTTCTAGTGACCAGCTTTCATAGCTAAGAGATTTCAAGAGAATTTAGAGAAAGAAGCAGTCCCTAGGAACCGAAACTCAAAGAGTTTCACAATCATTAATCAAGCTGAAGTTCACCTTTTCTCTGGGTAAATTCCATGATACCAACTCAGGCTGGACCGATATGCTGGAGTCTTCTTTTGGGAGACCCTCCTAGGTCTGGGAGGAGGCTGCACTTCTCACAGTTTCCTGGGTGTCAGAGGCAACAGCCACCCAGAGGTCCCTGGAGTGGTCATTGTGGTCCAACCTCAATGTCTCTGCTTATTTGCTCTAGAAATTCTTTGGTATCCTTTCATACTACAGGAACTAACTCCAGGGTCCAACTCACCTACCTCTGGGGACTGCTGCAGGAACATTCAATTCTATTTAAACACATTAGGGGGGTAGCATTGTTTAGAGTATGGTTCTACAGGAGAGGAAAAACTTCTCCTTTACTCTCTTAGGTTCTGTGGCTGGACCTGAGAATTAAATTGTCATAGGACAGGTTAACAGGAGAAGAGCATGCAAATTTTATCATATTTTTACATGTATATGGGAGCCTTCATAAGATAAATGAATACTAAGAAGCTGTTAGAAATGAGAAATTATATACCCTTTTTAACAATGATAAATTTGTGGACAAATTTGTGGCACAAAAAGTGACAAGACAAAGGAAAAGGCATTTAAGCCTCTAGGGGCAGTGAGTTGTGGTAAAGTGAGTAGGAAATATATGGGGGAAACTAATGGAAGATAAGAATTATATCAATAAGTTTGTTTGTACAGCTCCGTTTTGGTGTCAACTCACCTGGTAATAAGAATGTTCTCTTCCTGCTGCAGGGAGGTCACCTTGCTTATGGGAAATTTTATAACCTATTTTTAGGTCAGATGGGGGAGGTTAGAGAACTCCTCCTGCATGTGCCTTCAGCTCAAAATAATCAATATGCAAAGTTGCATATTTTGGGGTGGCATGTTCTGAACCCCTTCAGTTCAAATCTCAATTTTTCTATATTCTATCTGTAACTTCGGGCAAGTTACCTAACTCCTGTGAGCTGGGTCTTTTGAGCTCTTTAGTCACTCCTCTTTGTTCCTCAGCTCCAAGCAAAACACCTTTGGTCCTCTCTAAGCCCTTGATTATATCATCAACCAAGCTGTATGAATGCCGCCAACTAAAAGTTAGTTCTGGTCTCCTGATGGGTTCAAGGATGCATTACACAGCCTCTGAAAGTGTATCAGTTTAATCTAAATGCTAGGGATATGGCCACAAATGAAAAAGACCAAATGCCTGTCCCTGTGGGCTTATATTCCAGTGAGGAGACAAACAGTAAACTATAATACAATATCTAAAATAATAAAACACAATGTGGTATGGCATAATATAATATGGTACAATGTAACATAATATAGTGTAAGTCAGTTCTAAGAAGAAAAATAAGCAGCAAAGGAGAGGTAGGAAATCAGTAAATCAGGAGATCACTTCTTCAAGGAATCTTGGATAAAGGGAAAAGATGAAACATGAATATCTGGGGTAAAAATGATCCAGGCAAGGGGAATGACAGGCACAAATCTCCCAAAGCAAGAGGGTAACTGGTGGGCCAGAGTGCCAGAGTGGCTGGGATTAAGTGAGCAGATGGAAGGAAGCCAGATCAGCTCAGCTGGGGCCTTGTAGGCTGTGGTAAACTCTTTGGCCCTTATTCTGAATAAGACAAGTAACTATTGAAGCCAAACAAATCTTTTAAGGGTCACTCTGGTTGCTATAGGGAGGGGTGGAAAAGACCAGTGAAGACTGGCAGTATTGCAGGCAAGGGGTGTTTGTGGGTTGGAAAGGGGCGGCACTGGTGGAGGAGGCAAGAAGAGGTTGTATTCAGGACGTATTTCAAAGATGGAAATGACAGTACTGGGGGATGGATTGGGCGTTGATTGAGTAGAAGGGTCAGAGAAGACTCCCACTTTTTTGATCTGAGCAACTGGGTGAATGGAGTTGCTATTTACTGAAATGAGAAGAACTGGTGAAGGAACAGGCTGGAGAGTCAAGAAATCAAGTCAAGCTCAGGACAGCCATCAGACATCTTAATGAAGTCGCTGTGTGGACTTTTGTTTAATAGTGCTTGGAAGGTCTTCCAAGTACTTATTGAAGGCCTTGCTTTCTTAAGTCAGGGATGCAGCAAACATTGTCAGGTCTGTGATCACAGAACTGAAGCCTTTGGAAGCACCCACAGAAGGCACTCTGAATGTTCATTCTTAGGAAAGATGCAGAGCAGTGTGACCAAGGCTGGGGCAGCTAGAAGTTAGAGTGCATTAGTGATGACTAATATTTTGAGCATAGAAAGATGTTCAACGCTGTATTTGGATTTGAATTTTTTGTGTAAATAGAATAAGAAAACTTGAATTCATATACTATTTTGTAATTTAATAAGTGCTTTCAAATCCATCATCACGTTTATCCTATGAGGTAGGATTGATTATCTTCATTTTGGACATGAA